CCCTTGCTGGGACCGGCAGCCCCAGCCCCTGCAGCTCTGCGTGCTGTCCCCTGCCATATGGACACTCCTATTGAGAGTCCCGAGTAGAGACGGTCAGGGCCTCTAACGGCTGAAGAGTCCAGCCTTGCCCTTCTGCAGCACGGCCATAAATATCCCCTCACGCTAGAGACCCTCCCTGTTCCCCTCTGAGGCTCTGAGGGATGAGAATGTGGCCTCTGAGGAGCTGCGGGGGGCCATGCAGAGTGTAAGCAGAGGGGGCTGACACTCGTTTTCCACCCCTAGAAAAACAAACCAGGCCTCCAAGTCCTATGGGTGGCTTAGGGGCCAGACCCGGGCCTGGCTGTCATGGGGAGCCTTCGGCTGGACCAGAGCAGACATGCGTGGGGCAGGTTGGTGGGTTTGAGTGACTGAGGAGGAGAGAGAGGGGGCACGTTGTTTCTGCTTCCTGCAAGCCAGGCAGGCTCCAGGGGCCGGCCCAGGGCCCAGCTGCAGGGCCGGCTCCTTCAGGACCACTCCCAGCAAGGGGTGAATTGGGACCCAACTTCAGGCCTGGTGTGGCCTAGGTCATGTGACCTGAATCTTTCTGGCTGCAAAGCCAGGGTTCAAGCCCCTTCCCGCACTCATCGGCTGCTGAGCTGGTGAGCTCCCGCTGTGCGCCAGGCTTGGTGCTGGGTGGGGTGCAGACCGCCGTGAGAGGCAGTGTGGACACTGGCATTGGGGTCCCGAGCTCGAAGCGCTCCTTCATTTTCCACACTCTTCCTTCTCACAGCCGCTCCCAGTCCTCGCACCCCTGGTGGGGTACTGGAGACTCGAGTCCTTTCCATGTCTGCTCCTGACCCCCTACATTCGCTGGAAGGAACCGTTAGAATCCGTGTAAATGACCCAGCGCTGAGTGTGAGGAGCCGAGCCTGGACGGCTTGGCAGGGAGGACGAGCACCCGAGGCCCCAACAGCACTGACCAGCGGCTGCAGGATGTGGGTTTGGGGTGAGTCGTTCATTCATTCAACAGACCAAGGTTGAGCCCCTCCTTTGGGTTAAGCTCTGCTTGGGGCTGGGCCACTGTGGTCTTGGGACAGCACAGCCCCCATGTGAGGTGAGCAGCTCTGGAGTGCAAGCTGGGGCCAGGCAGACAGCTCAGGTCTCTGCAAGTGGGTCGGACAGGCATGGGGACAGCAGAGTATTACACAGACACTTTGGAGCCTCCTTAGAGGGTTTGGACTTTATCCTGCGGGCAGTGGTTTCAAGTTGGGAGGGGCAGCGTCACATGTGGTTTTTGCTTGGGGCGTAGGGACCGGGTTGGAAGCTGTGCAGGACAGTGGCTGCTATTGTCCGGTAAGCGGTAATGGCTCACCAGCCTGGGACGGTGGCACAGGGAGAAGGGTGGCGCAGGAAGGGTCGAGCAGCGGGACAGACAGGGCATGGTAAGTGGGATGTCACTGAGAAGGAAGGTTCAGGGTGGCTCCTGGTACTTTGCTGGGCGGACAGTCACATCAGTGACAAGGCCCAGCATGAGGAGCCTTGGGAACCCCACCGTTGGAGCGCCCCTGTGACAGGCACGGCTGGCAGGATATCATCTCAGGCCGGCAGAACAGCCATCTGGGAGTTCTTTTTGCCATGTTTGCAGGCAAGGACTCGGGCCACACTAGCTGTCCCGGCAGCCCTGTGTGCCCGAAGCCCATGCCCACGGCCCTCCTGGCTGCCTGCTGGCTCATCCCCCCGGGTCTGCGCCTCCCTCTCCCTTCCTCCTGCTGGCACTCGGGCCTCTGCAGTGGTTGCTAGACAGCCACCTGCAGCCCTGACACGTGAGGGAGTGCCCTTTACCTCAGCCATTGGGACACTCTTGGACCCAGCCTCAAGCTACCACACCTGGGAAGAGGCTTCTCCGGCAGTGGCTTGTCGCCTGTGTCTGTCAGCACACCCATGCTCAAGAAAGCACGAGAGGACAGGGCAGTGGGGCGTGCCGTCCCCACCCTTCCCCTGCCTCGGGCTGCCAGGATGGAGATGGCGCTGAGGCACCGCGCTGAAGTGGCCCTTTGTACATTGTTGTTGGAGGACAGGCGAGCCTGGGCGGGAGGGGCTGGCACGGCCGGAATGCCGGGGCAGTGCGTGCTGGGCTCAGCTGGGCGAGGGTCAGCCCTGGATGCTCACTGGCCAAGCCTGTGCCCCGATCACCCCAAAGTAGGCGATACTTGCCACATAGTCTGTCACCACCTCTCACGAGGGTTCCTTGTATTTCTCGACTGTCTCCTCGTTGTTTGACAGCTGTGTATGGAGTGCCTGCTCCAGGCCGGCTCTGTCCACGGAGTGGCCCATGGTGACCCTGCTCTCCTGTGGTTGACATTCCCAAAGCAGAGCGGGGGCGAGGAAGACATAAACAGGGAACCCAGTCACTTCCGCAGCAGATGCTGTGTGGAGGGTGACCTGGAGAGAGGCTTTTTGGCGGGGGCAGGGGATGGCCACTTCAGCCGCGGGTCAGGAAGGCCTCTGACCGGAGACGGCAGACAGAGGAGGAGGCAGCTGTGCCTGCCGGCATGTTACAGTCTGAGGGAAAGGTGTTCCAGGTGGAGGGAGCAGCAGGTGCGAGGACCCTGGGATGGGCCAAGCCGGGAGCACACAGGACAGAGAAGGCAGGGAGAGCGGCTGGGGCTTGGTAGCTGACAGTGAGGGCAGTGAAGTGCAGGGCCCGCGGGTGCCCGGCAGAGTTGGGGTTTTATTCTGATGTGACGGGTGATGGGAAGGCTTAAGCAGGAGGATGTGGCCCTGGTGGGGACTTTGCAGTGACTCTGGGAGCCGCAGAGGCAGGGGGAGGCCAGCAAAGAGGAGGTGCTGGGAGCATTTTCCGGGAGGCGCCCAGCAGGCACGTGTCGAGGCCATGTGTCCCCAGGGCATGGGAGCCAGCTCAGGAGCTCTGAGGCGGGCTCTTCGGGTGTGATCTTGTTTAGCCTTCACAGGGTGAGGGCTGGGAGAGTCTCACAGTGCACATGGCGACACCAGGGCCCCTGATGCCAAGTGATCACAGCTACACAGGGCCGACAAGAAGGGCAGGAACTGGGTCCAGCCCAATGCGGAGGAGCTGCTGCCCCAGAGTAGCCCCCACTGCATCCCATATCCTGAGACGTGGGCCCAGGCCCTGAAGGACTCGGGAATGAGTTTCCTCTCACAGAGGCAGAAAGCACTCAGCCTAGCCCATCTGGCCTTGCCTGTCCTTGGCCTGTGAAGCCATGATGGCCACCCCGTCCAGGCCACTGCCACTTCGCCCCAAGATCCCAACAGCTGCTCCGCCTGGGCATGCCGCGTCTCACAGCGAGCCCTGAAGACGCTGGCATTCTGGTCTCCGCAGGTGTGGAAACTGAGGCAGGGCAGGGGTGCTCTCAGCCCCGGCCCCTGGACTTTCTGCTGTCTTTCCGTTTTTGTCTCCAGATGGGTAGGGCAGGTTCTTTGGGTCTGGAAAGCCAAATGCAGTAACTGGGAGGTGGGCAGGAACCTCAAGCCCGAGGTTCAGGGGCCACTGGGGGATTTCTTCTGGCCTCAGAGAATGTGGATAACAGGCCTGGAGGGCGAGACTCGGTCGGCATTTGGTGAAGGAGGGGCAGGGTAGGCCTATTCATGAATTGGAAGAAGCTGGTTCTTCTCCTTCCTCTAATCAGAAACTCTGTTAATAATTAATCGCCTGCCCAATTAATAATTACAGGCTGCTTTTGCCCTACCCACTGCCTCGGCCCACCCTGGCCTCCTCTGTTCTCCTTCCCTTGCCCTCTGGCACCCCCCCTCCTGCCATCACCCAGCTTCCCCTGCAGAGATGGCATGGCCCCTGACCTTGGAAGTCCCCAACCCCTGGTACACACACACGCTCACACACATGCACACACACTGGGCATCCTCCCTCTCAACTCTCCCCACTCGGTCCTCAGCAACCCTACCAGGTAGGTGCCATCCCGCCTGACAGATGGAGGTCCTGAGGAACGGGCAGGGCGGCTGCCTGCAGACCCACTTCTCATTCACTCATATGCTGGACGTTTATTGCCCTGACGTCGCTGTGGTCGACCACCAGGAGCAGGACCGGGGTGCTCCCAGCCTACCCCCAGGAGAGAGTCCCAGGGGCTTCTGGGCAGGCCAGGGCTGAGGGCAGGGGAAGCGAGGCCGAAGCTGGGCTATGAGGGAGGGAGGAGGAGTCCCCCGAGTGTGGGGGCATCGTGTGCCATGGCCCCTGCGGCAGTGCCATCTGGCCGCCTCCCTAGCCTTCCTCTGGGCCTGGGCCTGATTCAGTCTTCACCCTCTTTGGAGGCTGAAGAGGGCAGTTCTTTTTCTTTTCTTTCTTTTTTTTTTTTTTTTTTGGTAGAGGTTTTTGCCTTAGGGCTCATGTGCTCTCTGGTGGAGAGAGAGACACACACACAGGGAAAGTGAGAAATTACTGCCCAGTGGGATGGCCACGCCAGGATCCCTTCTCCTCCCAGGATCTTGGGCATGCACTCACATACGCCAAGCAAGAATTTCAAGCTGCCGGTCTGGGACTAGAAACGCAGTCAGCCATGTGGGAGTCCAGCAACGTAACTGCTATGCCGTCTGCTGGCCCCAAAAGGGCAGTTCTTAAAACGAGGGTGTGGATGCCGTGGCGAGGGTAGGCTCAGGCGTGGAACCAGGGGCCACAGTAGCTGTGCTGGTCTCTCTGGTCTTCGAGTTCTTAGCCATGGTCAGGCACATGGGATCCAGCCCCGGCCACCCCCGCAGGACTGTTGTGTGCAGGGAGGTGCCCAGCTCTGGCACCCAGGCCCTAGCCCACGTCCTGCTGGGAGGCCGCCCTGCTGTGCAGAGTTTATTTCCAGACTCTTCCGCATGCCCCATGCTCCTCGCCTCCCTGTCCATGTCCCACTGAGAATGTCCAGCAGTTCCCTGGGGGCAGGGCACCAGGCAGGGAGCAGGGCGAGGCTCACAGAGGAGATACCCCTTGGGCCGCAGGTGTCCCCCACCCATTCTGAGGAGCAGCTAGGCTCTGGAGTGTGGGGCTGCCTCTCCAGTGCTGCTTGGTTACCTGTTTTACAAATGAGGCTGAGGCTGGAAAGGTGAGGCTAGCAGCTGGGAAGGGGTGGAGCTGGGAAGCCTGCCTAGATGAAGGGCAGGGCTAGCACCTGGCCTGGCCAAGGTCAGTTCTCATGTAGGCACCTAACTGACACCTGGGCTCTGCCCTGGGCGGAAACTGCCATAAAGCCGAGGTGGGAGCACGCTGCAGCCCTGGACTAGACACTGCTTCCCCTGTGGTGGCGCCGCCCAGGGGCCCCCAGGCAGGTAGGGCTAGGGAGGGAAGTGGGCAGGCATGGCTGGATGGTCCTTGGGAAGGGCTCGGTTGCAACCCAACTACTGGTGGGTGGGGCGTCGGGCAGTGTGAGTGCAGGGTAGGATTGCGCACCGCCCCTCGGGGTGAACCCAGGCTGCTGACTTTGAACCTCAGTTTCCTCATCTGTAAAGCGGCAGTGGGGGACTGATGTCGGGATAAAACTAGAAAACGGAGCTGATGCAGGTCCCTGTAGGCCCCGTCCATATGGTCATAGGCCGGAGGGCAGGACAGACAGCAGCCCCTCGGGGAGATAGTACAGTTGGCGTGGACCTCTCCCTGGCTCTGTCTGTGTTCCTGTTGACAGGGCCAGGGACAAATAACGAGGAGGAGGCTGTGGGCAAGGAGGGCAGTCCAGATGAGCAGGGGCCTGCAGGGAGGCCTGGAGCCTCCTGAAGGCCAGGTGCACCATGGAGGTCTTCTGCCTCTAGAGCGTCGGCCCCTCATGGTGCTGAGACCCTAGCACAGGTGCCACCCAGAGTGCCCTGCTCCCCTTGGGGCTGGTGGAGGTGGGAAGGGCTGCTCAGGAACCCCCTGATCTTTCTGGGTTTAAAACTGCAGTGGCCCAGCCCTGCAGAGTGCCACGTGAGGGTCACACTAGGACAGGCTGGTGCGGTGGGGGTGGAGGGGCTGGGAGTTTGGCAGGAGAAGCAGGTGCCACCCTCCTGGGTACAGGCTTTTGTATCTGGTCAGGTCACCTGCCAGAGTCATGGAGATGAGTGACCCAAAACGGCAGGCCCATGGGCTTCTGTGGCGGTGAAGGGAGCCTGGCTGAGGGAGGCGCCCCTTCCTTTTCTCAGGAGGCCCTCCCTGACACCTGGCAGCCCCCCTCAGCTGGCTTTCTCATTTGTGCTGGTCCATCTGCTGGACGGAGCTCTGGGACCTCCCGAAGCCTGCACCCTGCTGCATGCCACCTCCACAGAGGCCAGCGGCTCTCCACCCTCCTGCAGCAGGCAAGGGCACCAGCGTCCCTGACTGCTGTCCCCACTTCCCCCGAGAGCCTCTCACAGCCTGGGGCTCCTTCCCTGCAGCCCCGTCCAGCCCCCATGGGCTACCAGTACCTCCTGTCCTCCAGCAGGCCAGTTCATGTTT